AATAAAATAAATATTCAAAACCTTATTTTGGCTGAATTCCTAATCTCCAGTAAAACGTACTTATGTTTTTTGAAATTCAACTTTTGGTCATGTCATTGATTAATTTGGGTTTAGTTCGTAAGACATTATCTATTTCTTCTGCTGGATAATTCTAACAAAACAAAGTTTTAAATCATCATGAAGGCTTCGGGAAGTACGTTTAGTGGTGTTCTCTGAATCTGTTTTACTTTAATGGATTTTTCTGGTACGTAAGAAAAAAAACAACATTAGAATCCTTAACTTGAATAACACGCATGTTACCAGTGCACATTAGTATAGCGTAAAGGAATGAGTGAGAAACGAACCAGTTATTCGGTTATTATTTTCTAATTTTTTGACGTGTCACTCAAATGATGACAAACAATGATTAAATAATGTGATAGAGAGATACCAGTAAAAGATCTCAATGTAATCTCCAGGATAAGACCAGATACTATAAAAGTTTCAGATATACTCCAACGTGATTTTACTCATAAACGTCAAGCCTAATGATTGTATTTAATGATTTAATTCGTTATTTGATATTAAGCACCCAGCTCTGTCAACAAGAACACTCAGACAATCGTCGCTTCTTTATTTTTATTTGATATTCGACACTCAACGGTGAGCCCTTTGGCGGCCATCTTGAGTGCGCTATAAGAATGATTTGTTTGTTTGTTTGTTAGTCGAAACGTTTTTGGAAACCCCTGGTAATCCTATAAACAGGAACTAATTGCATTACACTAATGTCGTTTTTTTTTCCTTCAAATTTGAAGTTTTTATTAGTATTGCACTCAAGTAATATTAACGAGATTCTTAATGAAAGAGTTTTCTGGCGAAACGTTACGAGTTGATTCCCAATTAAATTAAAAATATTATATACGAGTCTTAAAAATTGTAAATACCGTAAAACAATTTAAAAAAATTGAATAACACTGTCGAAAACGAACCAGGTTTCAACATGGAGAACTCAGTTATACTGTAGACTACAGCTAAATTCTAACAGGAATAACTTACTGCAGATTACGAGCCAAGCTCTAACGGGAAGAACCGAGTAAAAATAAAAAGATTACGAACTACGTTTTAACACGGAGGCACATTGTAACATTGTGGTAAATTAATTTGCTACAGAATAACAAAAAAAACGCAATAACTTTCAAAACTTAATTGTAAAAAAAAATAAGTTCTGAGAAGATAAACATTTGAAACTTGTAAGTGGAATTAAGATACGAAGCTCGATAGAAAATATTTTACAGAATTTATTAAGGGCGAATTACTCAAAATATCTACGTGTTGCTCAATGTTAGGGTTAACTAACTTAAAAATGTGTTCACGTGGTAATAAAGGTTCTATATGTATGAAATGAAAATGCACTTGTAACCAAGTTTACTAGTTATAATATAAAGTAAGTTATCTTACCGAACACTCACGAATCCAAGCCTTAATCTCATTATTTTCACTCGAACATTAGATTAACCCAATTGGCCAAAATCAGTTTTAATAACAACCCTGAAAATGACAAACGGAATATTCTAGATACTTCCAAAAAAACAACGTAGGAATCAGTTGACAAACACCTGACCATTGGTGTAATGCCACGTATAAAGGCTAAATGTCGTCATGCATATTAAGCCTAAAGCTATAATATTCAACTTGCTGTCAAACATATTACGTCCAGCTAAATACAAAATTAAACAATGTAAGAAGAAAAAAAAATGCATAAATGATGCATTAATGCCTTTGCTAATATTAAACTTTCAATACGCGTCGTCTAGACTTTAATTGCATAACAGTTGCTAATTAATGCTGCATTAGTAAGAAGCAACTTTCGTAAATAGCGGACCTTCTCGGGGAACACATTCTGATGTTTGTAATGTACAAATTACAGCCTCAGTACGGAAGCAGACATAGGTTTCAGCGTTACATAAATGCAAAGCTTGATTCGCTCCACTACATTATATGCATTTTCTGAGCACTTTGGAAGGAGGTTCATGTTTACTAACAGCTGTTGGCCTCGGAAGCAAATAATTTAGAATTTAACTATATAACCGAGTTGACTTTACAAATTTCCTAGTATTAGATATCAGACTCTATATTTTACATAACAACCGCCTTGAATGGGTTCGTAACAAGAGACGAGTACAATAATTATTCAAAACTGATGATGACGTTTGTTTTGTTTTAGAGCAGAGCCATCATTGGGCTATCTGTTGCGTCCACCGCGAGGAATCGAACCCTGGCTTTTAGCGTTGTAAGTGTTTGAATTTACCGCTGTCCCACCGGGGACTCGTGATCAAGAGTAAGCTAATTATGTAGTTTATAACCGAAATAATTTAGAAATAACTTATAAACATGAAAAGGCATTTATGTACAGCAATATCATGCGTTATCTCGATGCCGAGGGCGCAGAATTGCCCTACGGTACAGCTCTGATTTCTGCATCTATAGGTTTAATGGAACGAAATATATTGTTACTACCACTGTCTGCATCTATATGTTTAATGGAACGAAATATATTGTTACTACCACTGTCTGCATCTATCGGTTTAATGGAAAGGAAATATATTGTTTACTACCACTGTCTGCATCTATCGGTTTAATGGAAAGGAAATATATTGTTACTACCACTGTCTGCATCTATCGGTTTAATGGAAAGGAAATATATTGTTACTACCACTGTCTGCATCTATCGGTTATGTAAGTACAATTGTTACTTTCCAACGTAGTGGAGAGTTAAGACTAACCCAACACCTGTACTTATCGTATTTTTAAAATTGATGTAGATCAATTATGCTCGATCGAATGACGTCATTTGAATTTATTTACCGTCATCTTCGAACAAACTTTAACATAATGAAATCAATGTAATATTCACTGTGGTATCGCTTGCTACATAACAGAGAAGCTTCATTTTAAAACGTTCTTTCGTTTTCATCTGATGTGAATATCCATATTTGGTCTATTTGTGCAATAATTGGTTGTTGGAAACATACACTTATTTTGATAAGTTGAATCAGTGCTTGTTTTGAAATTTTGAGACGAAACAACCAATACGTGTTCCAATATTTTGATTACGCCTAATTAAAGGCTCCACCTACCGTATCAAATCGAATAACCTCAATAAAACTCGTAAAGTTTCAAAACTTTCTGAAAGTTCATTGCTCAGAATTGCACCTGGTGTTCATCTAGACCACATTGTGTTAAAGAGCTGGCGACGAATGAAGCAATGTCGTTTTTGTTTACACAACAAATAGAAAATACAAGAGTTTCTCAATAGCTGTTGATTCAGTTTATGGATTATGTTTTAGGTTTGTTTGCACGTTTCTCAGCAGGAAATTCGAAGAAAAGAAATCACGAAGATTTGTTTACTCTTTTCCTAAACGATTTTGATCAGCTGTTTCGAACACAAATGCTTCTGCCAACTATGCAGTGTGTTCAATTTCAAGCTGCGATTCCGTACAATGACCCTAAACGAGGCTTTCCGTGTACGAATGTCTTTGTGACGGTAAAAAAAGGCTTAGCTCCACTCTCCTCCAGAAGCTCTTCAGTGTCCATCAACGGGAGTCGTGTCACCTCCTATAAAAGCCGTTTAATTAAGTAGTATGAATCCACAATCTTTCACTGATAATGAATTAAGGAAATTTGACAGGTATGCTTGAAGAACGGAATCGCTTTAATTCGAGGCTAATTTTTCATTTTCTGCCTGCAAAAACACATTTGTGGGTTGAAAGTGCGATTGAAATTTGCGCATTGGTTGAGCCCCATCACAAAACACAAGTCGTTCCCACAGAAAATGTCCTCAGTTCTTCTAGATGTATAGATTATCATTTGAATGCTGCTTTTTTTTCGTCCGTATTTTGCATTCCTGGTATATTTGTGTTAAGATAATAGAATCTTATAAAATAA